CCTGCCTACGTACCCCTAAACCCTAAACCCTGACACCCTAAACCCTAAACCCTAATCCCTTTGCTGGGCTTAGAGCGGTTACACGGCGTTTTGGGGAACACTGCACTCCTGCGGAGACACGGTTCCAGTCATCTTTCTGCAAGGCAGGTCAAGGCGGTCAAGGTAATAGTCCGGGTTTGGGGTTTAGGGCTTTGGGGTGAAGGGTTTAGGGCGCAGGACTTCAGGGGAATGGCCCTTTCTGCGGCTGCAGAGGAGAGTACGTCGTATGTTTTCTCTCAGCTTGCAGGGTGCCGAAAAGATGTAGGTCAGGCCCTTCTAATACAGCACAGTCTCCAGGGAGGAAGACGGCTTGTGCGCGTATTTTCTCATGTTTAAACCGCCCTTAGCTCGCCCTAATCCCTAAAACCCGCACCCCCCCCCCCCCCCCCCCCCTAATCGCACATTATAAACCCTGGCCCTCAACCCCGAAAAGGCTGTATCCTAGGGCCACGCCCTGGCTTGGGCTGGGCAGTGCAGCGGAAAGAGCGCCATGGGTTTAGCGTTCAGTGTTTAGGGTTCAGGATAGAGAGGGTAACTAGGTTTGGGGTTCAGGGTTTGGGGCTTGGATGGGCTTGGACAGGTCTGAGGGTTCCTTAGAAAAGCGGGGTGTGGCCTTAGGGATTTGGGGGAGCAGGGCTTTCGGGCTTTGATTTCTTCATATGGGCCTTGAGAAGAAGGAGACCAAGTGCCGACATGCTTGACTTCCGGCATGACTTGCAACCATCATCGTGCCATCCTTTTTTAGCTGCCTCTTCCATGAACCCGGCGTCCGCGCTGTCACTCAATGCCATACCCGCCCTACCCGAGGGAAGGTGAAGCCCGATGGAGCACTTCCCTTTGCACCGTTGGCCTGGTGTGGGGCTCCGGTGAGTGCCCGTGATCACCCTTTCAGCCAAGCGCTTCAGGGCTTAAGCGTATGACAGCGGAGCTATGAGCTAATGCGTCCGCTGGGGGTGGTCCATGTGGGTGTCCACATAAAATGCCCGTGGCAATTCGGCCGTGTGCATGGCACTCACGGAAAGCAGGGGAGGCCGATGGTTTCCGCTGCAGCGCGCATGCTGCCTTGGACACCGTAAACTTTCGTCTCCTACTCACTCGATTGGTACCCGCCAGCCCTACCCGAGGGAAGGTGAAGTCCGTTTGAGCAGATGCTTTGAACCAGTGGCCTGGTGTGGGGCGCCTGTGGCAACTCGGCCGTGGGCATGGCACTCACGGAAATAAAGCCTGGGACAGTTCTCAGAGTTTTTGTGAATCTCCTTAGACCTTGCCAGCAGCTGTTGCCGAGTGAGTAGGAGCCATCCGTGCCGAAGAAGCCACGTGCTGAGGTCGCCAGTTTGTACCTGTGGGCCTCAGCCCACTTCCCTAAACCTAAACCCCAAAGAGCTTGAACAGTTTTGAATCGCCGCCTGCAGGCTTCCATGCTGATGCCTATAACCCCTAAACTTAGCCGTATGAGCTTAGCCCGAGTAATTCCTGCAAACCCTACGAAGCTAGAAAACCCTACACGCCCTAAACCCTAAACCTGCTAAACCCTAAACCGTTTAAACCCTAATCAACTCAAACCCTAAACCCTACGCCCTAAGCGCGAAACCCTAAGCGCGAAACCCTAAACCCTAAACCCTAAACCCTAAACCCTAAACCCTAAACCCTAAACCCTAAACCCTAAACCCTAAACCCTAAACCCTAAACCCTAAACCCTAAACCCTAAACCCTAACCTTGAGCTCATCGAGGCGATGGCCATCAACCTCTCTGTGCCAGACATGGCGGGCGGGCCGCCCAAAGGAAAAGGCCGGAGGTTTGCATTGGGTTTGGGGTTGAGGGTTTAGCGTTTCGGGTTTAGGGTTTGGGGTTTAGGGTTAGGGTTTAGGGTTTAGGGTTTAGGGTTTAGGGTTTAGGGTTTAGGGTTTAGGGTTTAGGGTTTAGGGTTTAGGAGTCTTGTTACAGTTTAGGGTTCATATTCTGGAGCACAGGGTATATAGTGAGGTTTGGGGTTTTGAGTTCGTAGTCCCTTCCTTGAGCAGACAAATCCCGAAGCCTCAACAGTCTGGCATTTTTGACCAGCCATGTTCGGGCTGCGTGGGCTTGTCTGCGTTGAGCAGCCTCAACCGTGAGGAATCAACTCTGAAAATCCAGATGTAGGGCCCTGAACCATGAAAACCGAAACCCCGAAAGTCTTTCGGCTTAGGCTCTTGAGCTTTGGTGCAAGCAGGCTTGAGAGCGAGAACCCGAAACTCCTCAAACCTCAAAACCTAGACCCTAAACGGCAAACCCTTACCGGGTTGATGTTAAGGTGTACGTAGACACTCTGCAGGCGCCGGGAAGGGGACAGACGCTGATGATGGCCGCCTGGAAGATTTCAGACGTTTTCAGACCCTCCTCGAGCGTTTTTAGGGTCAGGGGTTTTGGGGTGCAGGGAGGGTTTAGATGCAGGGCCTGGGGGGTTTAGGGTCGAGGGGTTTAGGGCTGCAGCTATGGATACTCTAGGCTTTCCGAACCCATAGCTTCTAGCCCCAAACATTGCACCCATCTTCCATTCTGATGAGTCATGGCGACGTGCCACTTGCATGATCAGAGCTTAGGGATCCCGCGTCCTGATTGCAGAGTGGGGCGAAGCGAACTACATAACCCCAGAGACGATGGAACCACAAAATTGCTCCGGCAGCCCCGCAAGGCCTGAAGCCTGTTGCAAAGTTCCCAGCTTGTTCGGCGTCAACCCTAAAACCCCCCAAACCCCCAGACCCAAAACACCCCCACGCACAATTGAGCTGATGTGCTTGTGAGGAGATGCTGGCGGCAAGGGTGCGCCGGGCTGCTTTGGAGAACAAGGATACTTTGCTGGGAATGTCAGCGGCAACAGATTTTGGGCCAGATTCCTCCTGAACAACGCCAGTTTTGCACAACATTCGACCGCCTAAAGCCCCAGCAACCTACGGAAAGCCGCCAGGTGTCCGATCCGCACCGTTCCTTGGCTTGCCTTGCAGAGTGGGTTGAGGGTTTAGGGTTTGGGGGGGTAGTGTGTCGCATGTGTGGCTTACAGAAAAAGCACCAGTAGTCTGAAAGCGCCTTACGAAGGCCACGCTATCAAACCCTGAGCCCTATAGCCCTAAGGCCTCGACCCGAAAACCCCTAAACTACTGCCGCCCCCCACCCCCCCCATGACCTTTCCCCCCAACCTCCCCCAACCCGGCATATTGTCCGTCCGTGCATCCCCTGCCCTGAAATGCGCTGAACCATGTCAGAGGACTAAGAGCAGATTGGGGGGGGGGGGGTTTAGGGTTTGTGGGTTTAAAGGGTTTGTCGTGTTTACAGGGTTTGTAGGTTGTAGGTTTATAGGGTTGTAGGGTTCATAGGGCTTGTAGGGTTTACAGGGGTTCTAGGTTTGCAGGTTGTAGGTTGTATCTGGGTCAGGTACTGACTCCAACGGCGCACGTTGGCGCAAGTTGTCCTGTGGCGAACATGCAGCATCCAACATCAGCGCTCTAACGCTTATGCGTGCAATGAATGCAAAAAGAAAAAGGTTTCATGTGGGCTGAGGGTTTATTTAGGGTTTAGGCGGTTTAGGTGTTCACTGGGCCGGTTGCGTTGTCACGGGCCGCAGCTATGAAAGCGAGTGAGCTTTCGAATAGTTTCGAGCAGCTGCTTTTTCAGAGGGGAGTGTCGTAAGATTGTTTACCCAGTTTCGGGTTCACAGGGCTGAGGGTTTTATGAGGGTTTGGGGTTTCAAAACTCGGGTGTTGTCCACCATTCGAAGTTCCGCGGAACGGAACTGTTTTTGCGCTTCCTCGCCACTCTCCTCCTCTTGGAACAGTCCGAAGGAGGAGTGTGGTCCTGAGACAGAGACCCACGTGGGGGTTTCGGAAGATAGGGGTACCCTTTTTGGAGGTCCCTTTCGGGGGATTCTATTCTATTGGGGTATAAAAGGGGTACCCCTATTTTGGGGTCAGTTATGTACATTATGCTGGTTTTCAATGTGACGGGGAGCCATGATGAGATCGGCCGTGTTTGACTCTTGCCGACGTCAGAAGCTCCGCAAGCAGTCAGGAAGAGCAGCCAACATCCAGCACCCACACCCAAGCACTGGCTAGCATGCATCAGACATTCGAGGGCAATTGAGTTGCAGGCGACCTGTCACGTGTTCGAGTTTTCGGGGTCAGTTCTAGACACAGGACCCCTGCCTACAATGGCGAAAGGACCTTCAGCACCACCCCATGTCGTAGGATTCTGACGTGCGTCAGGTTTGCCCGAGAACCCATTTTTGTTCTTTTGTTGTGCGCGATGGGCTGCGCCTCCTCTGCACAGGATGCCGGCGCTGCCCTCGGCTTCAGTGAGCCCTCGACTCTAGACCTTGGTAGCCCAGTGGTACCCTTTTTGCCTGTGTTTGATTCAATTTTCCCTTGTAAAGTAACTAAGCCCCAAAAAAGGGTACCCTTATTGCAATATTGGCAATATATGTTTACTGGGCTACCAAGAGACGCTGAAAACACGATGACGAGCCCCACACCCAAAACCCTAAACCCACAAAACTCTTGGAGTATCTAACCCCTAGCATGTCGACAAGAATGGTAGCCGATACAGGGGGCCCCATGTCTCTCAACCGCCTGCAATAGCGTTGAGCTGAAGTGCTTGTAGGGGGATCCCGAAACCCAGAGAAACAACAAAAACACCCAAAACCTAGAATCCTAATGCCACAGCGCCCTCAATCCTAAATGGGCGCCCTGGAGCTTTCGGGTGCAGAGGGGCTACGGTTTCGGCTTAAGGTTCGGCAGGGCTTGAGGTTCAGCAGGGTTTCTAGGGACATCCCCTAGCCCGCCATGTTATCTCGTTGCCCTTGCCCTGGTCCCCGCACTTTGGCTCCTTCTTGTGGTTTGAGGGGGGCATCTGCAAACTAGTTGGCCAAACAGCTGCCATTGTGTGAGTCTTTCGGGCTGTTCTTCAGGGTGTTCCTTTGGGTGTGCTGCGCATGACGGCACCGCAACAGGTCCCTGAGGCGCATAGGTCCCAGGTTCCCTAAGCCCTGGCAGACTAAGCCCTAATCCCTGGCAGTGAGGGGGGTGCCCTGAACCCTGAGCCCTGGGACGCTACGAAACCTTAAGCACCTTAGGGCCCATCCATCAATCCAAGGCCAGCCCACTTTCGCGCCCTCGCACGCAGCGCAGGTCCCCCAGCAGGCGCCATTACTGGGGGTCGGCTTGGGAAGTTGCTGTCTGTCAGTCTAGGAGTTTTCGGTTCCCTGTGCTGGGACGCTTCCCTTCGTTTCATAAGTGGGGGGGGGGGGTTCCCCTGAACTTGATTGTGTAAATGGCTCCTGGTACATGCAAGTCAGCTAGGTGCATCCTTGGCTCCTCATCTGCCTTGCAGCAGAGGAGAAGAGGGAAGCAGTGGCTGAAGGTTGTAGGTCTTGGGGGGTGCTAGGGTTTGACCCCTATTCTATGCTCCAACTTCGAAGACAGCTCGCGCACATGCGCAACCAGATTGAGTTGGTTCAAGGGACTAAGGAGGGGACCCTCATAAGGGACCCTAGCGGGCGGGGCTGCTCGGACGATAAAAGGTATGTGCAATGGTTCTGTATGGCTAGTAGGGTTAGGAGTCCGTCCCTCTCAGTATCCCAAATAATGTTGCCACTGACTGTGGTCCTAAACTTCACTTGAACCTTGCGATAAACCTTTCAGCTACCTAATCCAAAAACCGTTAAAACCCTCGAACCTGAATTCCTCTACCGCAAAAGCCTTGAGGCCACTCAGCCAGCACCGAGACTCTAGACCCTCGACTCAAAATCCTCTGTCGTCCTCCTGGCACCTGTTTGGAAGGCCCAGGCCCGGCAGCCTCCGCAGGCCCAGCAGAACGCCCAGGTGCGTAGGGCAGTGAGGGGGGTAGGGGGGTGGGATTCTCAAGTTCATGGGTCGTTACAACTTAGGTATACCAATAAGCAACAAGATCCAACCCTCAGCACCCTGAACCACACCCTAAGCCACCCTGAACCGCTAAAACCCTCCAAACCCTAAACCCTCAACCCTAAACCCTAAACCCCAAAATCGAACCCCTGAACCCGAAGGCCCCAAACACCTTAAACCCCTAAAAATGCTAAAAGCACTCCCGAGCTTCGGGTCTTGGGCTCTTGGCTGGGGGGTTTTGCACGTGTAGGGTTGGGGTTTAGTGAGCTGAAAGACGCTAACCGTGCCACAGATCTCTAAGCCCTCAATCCTTAATTCGACCCTGGCACCGAAAGCTCTAGACTCTAGACCCTACCGTGTTTAGGGTTCTGGGTGGAGGGGCGTTCTTACTGCTTGTCGTTCGGACCTTAAGTGTACCAAAAAAGCCGAGGCCCCAAGCCTTAACCCTTAGAATCCTTAGACGCTAAACGCTGAAGCCCTCCAAAACTCTAAAAGGCCCAGAGCCCCAAAAGCTCTGAGGTTCCTAAGGTGCCCGGAAAGTGTCCTGGGACCTGCAGACCCTTCTTTCAGGGTTTAGGGTTTAGGGCTTAGGGTTTAGGGTTTAGGGTCTAGGGTTCCAAGACCAATAAATAAAACCAAAGAGGATGCTCTTCTTTGTCAGGGCCCTAGACACATAACCCCCCAAGCCCCAAACTGAACATATGGTGGAGGCAGATAACAAGGTGGCATCAGCGCCGGTCGTGAGAAGCCTCGTGTCGCTGCACCGGGACCCTTGGCGGCGCTGGGTTCAGGGGTTTAGAATGTAGGGTTCAGCGACTTAGGCTTAGGGTGTACGAGTTTACTTTCAGGGTTTTGGGCTTATGGTGTCCTCGGCTTGTGACTATCAGCAGCTACGGGTGCACCCGGCGCAAGGCGGCAACACATGCATACTCCCTATATTTTTTGAGTATTTTCCAAACGGTTCGCCGAAAGTGAATACATGAACGAACGAAGACAACACACATGACACCTTAACTCCTTGTCAGATTCAGCCTTTGGTTCGCGTCTCACACCTTTGACTCATGGCTTTAAAGGACACCATCAATCTCATGACCTTAACTTAAGACCCTATCATCTGTTCTCTCGAGAGGTTCCTTGTTTGGTTACCTGGTTCGCACGTACACAATATAATAAGTGAACGAAATTCACGAAGCGTGCGTGTCTTACCTTCGTTCGTTCGTTCAATTATAATATTGGGGACGTGGGGAAAGAGGTGAAAGAGTCGCGAGTTAGGTTCACAGAATACGTTCATAAGGTACCTTGTCAAGAGATTCCAGCTTCCCCTGAAAGCTGGAAAAGTAGAAACCTCGCACAAAGCGATCAGAAAAGTTAAGTTCGAGTCTATCCTCAGTGTACAGCCTACCGGCTGCATGTCTTGTAAGCCTTATATAGCCCAAGGACAGTGCAGGCTTCTATCGGTCGGCTATACTGAGGTGACTTCAAAGTGGCACCATAACAACAGCTATGAGATGTACCCCGGATCTTCAAGAAGATCACAGATGAATCCCCTATGGCCCTGAACTCGAAGCCAAACGGATCGGCGTGAAGCCTTGATCATTCTGAACCTTGATGCTGCCCAGGACAGCTGCCACATGGAGAAGACTGCTGAAGGGCTCGGGCCCCTGCCCCCGAAATCCTGAAGCCCCTAATCCGACAAGGATTTCTGGGGAGAAGGGACTTGCAGGCGTGCAGCTTCAGGAACCCAAACGTCGGGTGTGTTTGAAGTACTGCCACTTCAAGAGTACCACAGGGGTGGCGGCCTGCCTCCAAACTCGACTGTTCTTTCGGGAGCCACGATCAGCGTATGCCGAATTTGCGCGTTCGGTGTCGGTTCGACAGTGCAGGGGGGGGGGGGGGGGCGGTACGAAGAATCTATCTGTGCCTTGATGTCACGACGTCCTCGAATGGTCATGTTCACATGCCTCAGGTCTATTCAATCCTCAACTCTGCCCAGATCATTCTGTACGACACACGGTCAACCACACACACACACACACACATACAAATATATCAATGTCAATGATATCGGCTGGATCATCATCCAGTGCTCAGAGATAGGAGCTCTTCAATAAGCTTTTGGGGCATAACTGATCCTACCCCAATTGGAAAGGTTAACTTGCTTTGGCCCAGGCTACTCAGCAATTAGACACCTAAATTAAAGCCAAGGCACGGTGCGGATCCAAGATGCTGTACATAGATTGTATTCAATCCAAGGCACTGGCAGCAAACTGAATCCAAGTTGCTGGAAAATGGTAAAATGGCACAATCATGACAAAGCAGGTCACCGGCCAATTTCCCCGCACCTGCTGAGACTACTCTCGGTGGGGGATGGGACCCTGGCACATGTGATCCTGGGAGTTGGTGTTCCCTGCAGATTCTAAATCTTAGGTATGTCGGGGTGCCCACGCACACTTTCTCTCTCATACACACACACACACACATAGAGACAGAGAGAGACAGGCGCCCACAATTTCACACATGCCTCCACCCTGAACCCTAACTGCCAGGGCCACGCTGCGTTTCCAACTCTCGGCGGCTGGTGCGGGCGTGGCCCGAGCCTTCTACTTGGCCAGGGCCCTGGGTGCGTGAAGTAGAAGCAGTCGGTTTAGGGTTGAGGTTTTGAGGGCAAGCGGGATGTAGGCTTGCAGCACAACGTTTTGGAGTTGGGTAACCCCTTATAAGCTTTAGAACAACAAGAAATATACCTTAGACACAGTCAAACCACTTTTGTCAGGAACAAGGTTGTGCCTCTTCGCTTGGGCCTACCAGCATAGGTTAGCTTTAATTGATGGTCGCCAAATGGGACTTCCGAAAATGCGCGGACCCTTCTTGGAGGTTCCGATAAGAAAAATTGGAGCGTTTGGGGGTATATTGGGGGTCCGTTTTTGGGCCAATACCCCAGCTCCTGAACAGTCGTGCTCATGCTCGTCTTTGGGAGTTCAGGATCCGAGAGGCCTGTAGGTTCTGAGAAATTTTCCCTGAGCTCTTCAACGAAGACCCTCAACCCAAAACCCTGAACTTCAAACCCTCAACCCTAAAATCCCAAACCCTAAGCCCTGAACCCTAGACTAGTGCGCGGCTCCTCTTCCCCCACTTGGGCCTAGGAAGAATCAGCTTCCAAGGCGAGGGGCAGGGTCTGAGGAGGTTTAGGGTTTAGGGTTTAGGATTTGGGGTTTAGGGTTTAGGGTTTAGGGATAACCTCCGGGGGGGATTTCGGGTGTATGTGAAGCGTAAGGTTGAGAGTTGGGGTGTAAAGATTTCGGCTTCAGGGGTTCAAGGCTTAGGGTTTACGGCCGTAAACCCTGGACCTTAAACTAAGGCCCGGTAGTTTCCCCAATACGCCCTGTATGTACAGTACTCTAAGAAGTCGCATAGATTCCAACCAGGAACTTTTCTCAGGATACCGCCACCATTGTTCCCTTAGGCTTTCTTGGTTTCATGCTTTGTCTTACATTCCGCTCATTTTTACCTGGAACAACTTTAACTCCAGAAGTTTACTTCTTAATAGTTCCTGCTTCGGAGAAATTGCCCACAATGATGTCCGGCACGTTGCAACATTTGTTAGCGTGAATCCGTGGGCATCCAACAGGTCCTCGGCCCCAACACATTCCCCCGCTCTTGTCTACGTGCCATTATTGCCATTGTCATTCTTATAGCTATGTATTGCTACAACTATGGTTGTTATGTCGTTGTTGTTGCTTCGTTTACTTTACGGTTACTACGATGTTATTCGTATAGTTTCTCATTGCTGCCCGTATACGCATCATCCTGATTTATGTAGTTGTTACGTACTCTTTGTCATTGCTACTGCTCATGCTATTCTATGACGACGACGATAGTACTACCGCCAGCAGTTGTACTACTCCTCCTCCTCCTCCTCATCTTCCCTCCTCCCTCCTCCCTCCTTTTCCTCCTCCTAATACTACTACTACTACTACTACTACTACTACTACTACTACTACTACTACTACTACTACTACTACTACTACCACTACTGCTACCACTTCTACTACCACTACCACTACCACTACCACTACCACTACCACTACTACTACCACTACTACTACCACTACTACCACTACTACCACTACTACCACTACTACCACTACTACCACTACTACCACTACTACCACTACTACCACTACTACCACTACTACCACTACTACCTACCACTACTACCTACCACTACTACCTACCACTACTACCTACCACTACTACCTACCACTACTACCTACCACTACTACCACTACTACCACTACTACCACTACTACCACTACTACCACTACTACCACTACTACCACTACTACCACTACTACCACTACTACCACTACTACCACTACTACCACTACTACCACCACCACGACTACCACTACCCCTACAACTGCCACTGCCACTGCCACTCCCACTCCCACTGTCACTACTACTACCACTACCACCACTGTTGCTACCACTATGATTGTACGATGAAAGGAGCATCCTCTAAATTAGCCTCGAATCTTGCTCTTCCTTCGTCGATTCAGGGAGATTTGCGAGGCGTAGCATATGAGGACCGTTTGTAGCGCCTGGATCATTGTTCGAAGTCCCGTGTGCCAGTGTTGTTGGCTACTTGGGCTTTGAGAACATGAGTATACTTTTGCTACTACCATTTTCCTATCTACGCAAAGACCGTTAAGCCCTCAACCCTAAACCCTAAACCAATTGGTACTAGGAGCTCATTGAAGTGCATGAGCGAACCCCACCTGTGGCCGCAGGAGGATGCAGGGGACTTCGAGGATCCAACGAAAGCTAGCCGGGGCCCGGAGATTCCTGGGCTTAGGGTTTAGGGTTTAGGGTTTAGGGTTTAGGGTTTAGGGTTTAGGGTTTAGGGTTTAGGGTTTAGGGTTTAGGGTTTAGGGTTGGGAGTTAGCGGAACCTTTGCCTGTTTTGGGTGACAATACGACCAGCCTACCGCTAACCGACCCATGAGAAGATGATTCCTATACTCTCCCCGTTATTTCACCAACTATATCCAGCTGGTGAGAAAAAGGGGGAGTTTAGGAATCATCTTCTCATGGGTGGGCTAGCGGTAGGCTGGTGTATTGCCACCCGAAATGGGCAAAAGTTGCGCTTACTTAGGGCTGGGGGTTCGGGGTTTAGGGTTTGGGGCTTGGGGTTTGTGATTTTTTGTGATTTCTTGAGGAGAGTGGTCTTGGGCTGCAGCCTTCAAGACACGGAAAAATCAGAGCACCAGATTTGTCTGCTCCTGACCCTTGATCACGCCTGTTTCAACCTCTTTCCTTGCGGAATATTTCGTTACATGCATTCATTGCTGCATTCATATGAGCGACCGTCAAAATTAGCGTTGATTAGCCTTGGGGACGGACATCAGTTTGTGGTTTGGTGGCTTTTTGATCTGCAGAACATTATGGGACACGCAGAAAACGATAACCCCAATATGATGCTAAATATATACGATGTATGGACTTAGTATGAGCTTAGCGGAAGAGCGTTTTAACCTGCAGAACGACATGGGACACACAGAAAACGATACCCCAACATCCAATGTCCTTCAGCTTAACAAGTAATACTGACCGCTGCTCATATATACATATATGTATTTATGTATTTATCAGAGAGAGAGAGAGAGAGAGTCAGCATCGAGAGAGACAGAGAGAGTCAGCATCGAGGGTTTGTATATACCATGCAAAGAAACGTGGGTTGGTGACAAGATGCGCTGCGACCGCCGTGTCAAAGACAAGCTGAATTCAAAACCTTGGGCGGACTACTCCGAGCGTACCCAGTTTAAGAAGCTCAAGGGCTTAGGGTTGTCCCCTGTCAGGATTGTAGGGCAAAAAAAAGAAAGCAACGCATGAAGACCACAAATAAAGATGGTGGCCATGTCGGTCGCTGGGAAAAAGCAGGAGAAAGCAAGCCTTGACGCCTGGGAACCGGGAACCTTTGGCATGGATCTGCTGATTTTTTGTTTAACAGTGCATGTGAAAGAGCAGCAACTACGCTTCTGAAGGCTGAAGCATGAAAACCCTAAAGCCTATAGGGCAACAGACCCGAACCGGTATGATAGTTTGAGCCTTCAGGCCTGCAGGAGCTACGCTTCAAGGCCTGCATCATTTGCTGCTTCATTCAGGTTCATGGATAATAGTAGGGTAGCTATATGTAGTTATGACTGTAACCTTAGTCGGGGTACTTATATCCCTACTTCTAGCTAGCCCATGAACCTTCAAGTTAACAGGTCCAGGGTGTTGAGGTACCTGTTGCGCATTAGAATGCAAAAACATGTTGAAAGGGAGTTCCCCTATTAGCCCTTGTTCCCCTAAACCCAAAGCCCCAAAACCAAGGTTACTCCCAGGTTGCTTGAGAACCAAGAGGAATCCTTTTCAAGTACACCGGAGTCCTGTGTAAGGCTGTAGTTTAGGGTTTGGGGTTTGGGGTTTAGGGTTAGATTTGGCTTGGAGCTTGGGGTTTTGGATTTTGGAATGTGAGTGACCTGCTTCGCTCAGTGCCATCCATGATCCCCGCGTCTTAAAGCTGGGACCTGAAAGCCCTAAACCCCTAAACCCCCTGCAAGGGGCATCCCTGAGATCACCAGTCCTAGCCACCTCCAGCAAAGACGGAGGAGCCCTCATAAGTTCTGATTATACTTCAGTATGCTTTGGTACTCCAGCCCTTAGTGTGCGCTGCCTTCGACCCGGCAGTGTTGCATCCTGAGAAAGATGGTTTAGGGTTTAGGGTTTGCACTTGCGGCCAGGATGGAAACCAGCAGACGCTGCACCGTGGCGGGCATTTGGGAGGGTCTTGGGGTTGCGTGCACTGGAAACGGAAGCAAGCTTAACTTTGCAGATTGGATTGTCAGAAGAAGCTTATTCCCCTAAACCATGCACCCCCTAAGCCCTGACTGGATTGAAGCTTACCCGAAACCCCTAAACCCCTAAACCCTAAACCCTAAACCCTAAACCCCAAACCCCTAAACCCTGACTGGGTTGAATGTTTTCGGCATCTCGGGTTGAGGAAGGTAAAGTCCATGTCGAGCTACGCGCTCTGAGCTCAAACACCGAATTACTCAGCTACTCAGCCAGAGACCAGAGGTCCTATAAACGCCCTCCCCTAGACTTGCCTAAGCTCTAATCTAAGCCCTAAACCCTCAACCCCTAAACCCTAAGCCCTAAACCCTAAACCCTAAACCCTAAACCCTAAACCCTAAACCCTAAACCCTGAACCCTAAACCCTAAACCCTAAACCCAGCCTTAAACCCTCAGCTATCCCCAGGGTAGAAAAGCGGGAAAACCGGGCTGCCAAGGCGAATCTTCTTGGGAAGCCAGGTCCTCCACAGCAAGCCAGAGGCACAGGGTGGGTTCAGGGTTTAGGGTTTAGGGTTTAGGGCTTGGGGCTTGCGGTTTCGGGTTTCGGGTTTGGGGTTTGGGGTTTAGGGTTTGGGGTTTAGGGTTTAATGTTAACGTCGCTTTAATAAACCCCCCCCCCCCAAAAAAAAACTTGTTTTGGTCCCCGGGGTTTGGAGGGGTCGAAAAAAACGAGTGGGTGCCAATAATGCGGATTCTGGGGGTCTTGGGGGGGGTTAGCTGTCAGGGTCTGCT